AAAATGTAAAGCTGCCTTCAATGAAAACAGCTGATGGAGTATAGACTAACCTGATCATTATTCAGTCTCAAGATGGCGCCAAACAGTCAAACACACAAAGCTGCCAGAAATGAAAACAGCAGATGGAGTAAACACTAACATGCGCATTATTCAGTCACAAGATGGCGCCAAACAGTCAAACACACAAAGCTGACAGAAACGAAAACAGCTGATGGAGTATACACTAACATGCGCATCATTCAGTCACAAGATGGCGCCAAACTGTCAAAAACGAAAACAGCTGACGAAATATCCACTAACCTGCGCATTATTCAGTCACAAGATGGCACCAAGCAGTCAAACACAAAAAGCTGACAGAAATGAAAACAGCTGATGGAGTATACACTAAACTGCTCATTATTCAGTCACAAGATGGCGCCAAACTGTCAAAAACGAAAACAGCTAATTGAGTATACACTAACCTGTACATTATTCAGTCACAATATGGTGCCAAGCAGTCAAACACACAAAGCTGACAGAAACGAAAACAGCTGATGGAGTATACACTAACATGCGCATCATTCAGTCACAAGATGGCGCCAAACTGTCAAAAACGAAAACAGCTGATGAAATATCCACTAACCTGCGCATTAATCAGTCACAAGATGGCGTCAAACAGTCAAACACAAAAAGCTGACAGAAATGAAAACAGCTGATGGAGTATACACTAACCTGCTCATTATTCAGTCACAAGATAGCGCCAAACAGTCAAAAACGAAAACAGCTAATGGAGTATACACTAACCTGTACATTATTCAGTCACAATATGGTGCCAAGCAGTCAAACACAAAAAGCTGGCAGAAATGAAAACAGCTGATGGAGTATACACTAACCTGCTCATTATTCAGTCACAAAATGGCGCCAAACAGTCAAAAATGAAAACAGCTAATGGAGTATACACTAACCTGCTCATTATTCAGTCACAAGATAGCGCCAAACAGTCAAAAACGAAAACAGCTAATGGAGTATACACTAACCTGTACACTCAAAAAAATGAATTTTGGCTTTTGTTGGTCCAAAGAATATAACTATGTTTAAATTAAACAATTTGCTTATGTTTGTGTACTAAAAATAAAAGTGTTATGTTGGAAAAAATTAGAAAAAGTAAGTTTTCACATTTAAACAGCTTGCTTAATTAACATGAATGAAAGGGAGTTGTGTTGCTTCTGCAGTACTGCATTTTGGTCAATAGGTGGAGTAATATCTGCACATGCGCAGTTTCAAAACAACACAGGAAGTCAGAAGATTCAAACCACAACGATCACTCTCAGCTCGTTTAGATCGGCGCCATAATATGGGAATCAAAAGATGAAGATTACAGTACAAATTGAGAACGTGCACAGAAAGCTTTCCTTAATGTGGACGCAGGTGAGATTTTTTTACTTTGTATATATTCATACTGAGGCTGTGACAACATTTGAATCATTAATGAACTTCCTTGTAATACTATGTTGTGTTTGTGTATAGTATTGTTATGAAATTGTCATGTTTCCTGTGTCTTTTTCACATTAAAGGCAGATTAATTTCTAGTTTTTTTGCATTCCTGTGAAATTTTAAACTTGGTATATATTAACCCCAAAATAAAGTTGCAAACGTTGGTAGTAAGAAATAGTCTAATTTTAAATGAGTGTCAAGCAGTTTATCAAGTTTTAATGCCAGTTTTGATAACTTACATAATATTAATTAAAAGGTGGTGTTGGCACAAGCATATGTGACACTTACTGTATATAGGATGACATCTAGCATGATGACATATTTAATGTAAGCTTATATGTTTGGTCATCTAACACATTTAAACTTTTAAGTTTAGTAGTTTGCAGTTTTTTTTTCATTTTTATTATTATAAATATATTATTCTAAATGCTATATATTTATATTATTATATTTTATTATTACAAATCTTTGCTCACTCGCATCTTTTTTCTCCCTCAGGGTTACAGCTCAGCCTCTGTCCCATATCTGGTTGAGGAGACTGTGGATAATCCAGGTACTATGCCTTTAGATGCCTAGACACGCATTAAAATGATGTACAGTAAAAATTACTAGTAATTTTAACTACTAATTATTTAGTAAATTACTAATTGTCATTTCATGTCGTTTAGAACATCACCAGTGGAAAAAAAGGTGTGAATGCATTCAGAAAAAGCCCTTGTGAGTGAGTACACGGTAAGCCATTTACTTTTTTTTTTTTTTTTTTTACATTTTGCATTTTCCTCTTAAACTATTTCCTCCTTTCACCTTTGATCTGTTGGTAAACTTTTTATTTTTTTACTTGACATTTTTAGGATGCTGGGCATGATGAAGCACAAACCTTGATGTGCAACACCACCTTATGAATCTACAGTAGTTACATTAACATTTAGCAGACTCTTTTGTCTAAAGTGACTTACAATTGAGGAGACATTCAGCAAATCAACAAGAAGAGGCAATACACCCAAGATGTGCTAATTATACAAAAAATGTTAAGAATTAAGAATGCTTCTACATGTGGTTTGTCAAGCCCACTCACCTGTGTGAAGCAGACTTCATGCACAATGTTTTTTTGCGTGTGTGTTTGTTTTTTTAGATATAGGGAGTGGTTGTAAGAAAGTGTCTAGTGCAAATGTGCAGAAATGGTGCCCAGAGAGATGAATGTGTCTAGCTATTGCATGTTCTGTGATGGTTGGTCTAATTTATGATGTAATGCTGATTGTGTTACATTGCTTTAAAGTGGTAATCTTTCTTTGAACAACTAAAGTGTTATCTGCTTTTTCAGTGTAAAGAAGTTACAGCATAGTTTACAAAAGAAGACTTAATTTTTCTAAGTATATTTTTGTAACTCATTTAATGGCAGAATATTATTTTTAAATGTTTTTTGTAATATATGAAAAGTAATTTGAAAAGTGTATTTTATGATGTTTTTGTAAGCTTATTTTTGTAAATCATTTATTGTTTTTAATTTACTTCATACTTGTATTAATATTAATTTAATAGTATATTGTACATACAGTATTTAACTTATTGTAATAAGTGAAGATACAGATAAAGACAATATTTGGATTTTGATAATCATTTTATTGCTGGAAAATTTGTAAAACTGTAAAAATGCTATTGAATAAACTCAATGAAACAGAAACTGTTTTTTTATTTTGTTAAACATAACAATATAAATTTTAGAATAATTGAACTTAAATAACTACATTGATTAAAGCTAAATTCTGAATGTTACATTGATTGAACTAAACAACATTACATTACCTTTATGTAACTAACTTAAGTTCACTAAAATAAATATTCTTTCTTAAAGGTAACTTAACTCAGTTACGTGGAACGAGTGGACAAAAAAAAGTTAATTAACGCCAACATGTCATTTTTTTGAGTGTACATTATTCAGTCACAATATGGTGCCAAGCAGTCAAACACAAAAAGCTGACAGAAATTAAAACAGCTGATGGAGTATACACTAAACTGCAAATTGTTCAGTCATAAGATAGCATCACACAGTCACTGCTAACTTCATTCAACAGGCTACAGTCCTTTCACTGCCTCCAAGTGTTCATTTTACACAACAACAAAAATGTGTGTTTTTGCACTTCTGTAGAAGTCTAGTGTCACGTATTTGGGGTCTTGTTGAAGGAACATGTTGTTTGTAAGTGGCCGGACTTAAGGTATCTGTCCACTGGCACAGATTGGTGAGATTGATAGCAAAGCAGTGAGAGCGCAAACGTTTTCCCATGCCAAGCAGAAGGCAATTGCTTTTCATTCGAGAGCAGGCATGTCTGTGGTGATAGCGTTTCTGGTGGATTTAGTGATTAAATCACAGAATACCGCTGTCAGTCCTGAATACACTTACAATCAGGGATGCACTTGATACCTATAGTGGAAATTCGCATACTTATTATACGATCTGACACCAACAACTGATCTGTGCACAGACTGAGAAATACAGACAACAGAACAGAATGGAGATATCAAAGAACGTAAAAGTAGATAGAGAGAGAGGTAGGAAGAAAAAGAGAGAGGGCATACTGTTACATTTGGTATCATAAATAAATATATAGAATTTATAGTTGATTCACACAGGAAATGTTGCATCCCACACACCAGAAACGCCACTGATTACTGACCGACAGAATAATTAGAATGAAATGTAAATATATTTAAATGGTTTTAAAGGGTCACACCAAAACACATTTTTTGAGCTGTTGACAGTAGTATATGTGTCCCACACTGCTAAAAACACTATTAGGACACCTATATTTCACAAAAAAGTGTAAATTGGTTGTTTTTGCATTATTTCAAGCAAATTCGTACTTCCTGTTTGAAACGAATTTTTGAAGCTGCGTCACGGTCATGACATAATAGCGTGTATTCCAGCGTGCAGACTGAGCGTCTGTGCCAGAGTGTGTCTTATTACGTCTTACAGTGTGATGCATTAATGCATGAGTAAGGCTTGGTTCAAACCAATCAGCGCGCTCTATTGTGCAACTTCATTAATATTCATTAGTGTCACCGCGTTTACACCACAAAGACGCCACGTTTTGTTGGCAAAACAAGCGTGAAGTGTTGCTTTTATAGTTTGCTGCCGTTAAGTTTCGTTTTCATTTTCTCTCTGTGAGAGCTCAGCTGGATCACGTGTGGATTAACAGTTGACGCGACGCTCGACAACAATAACTTAAGTGTCTAAGGAGGATTATTGTTTACCTGAGAGCTGTTCTCATCTGCAAACGCTGTAATCCAGATTCGCTTGTAACGTTAGTCTTCTCTTCATAATGACGCGGTTCAAGTTGCTGGTGATTGTCCTGTCTCTACAGATTTGGTAAGTGAGCGACCAGTGCTCTTTGTTTATTCAGTTTGTTCATATCGAATTAAGTTAACTATTGCACTGAGTGCAAACATAGCGCCGCATTTTGTGACAGGAATAACACACGCGGCTTTCTGACGCTACCTGTCGTGTGCATCTAAGTTTCCGGGAAATGCGGAGGGTTTTTTTTCTCTCATTCGCCGTGCGGTATCAAACATTGCATGAAAAATACACGCTTAGAGCAGATCCTCAAATCAAATATCGCGCTTGTCGCGAGGGGCATGAATGAATTCCCTGAATGAAAGAGCCAAACTGCATTTAAAGTCCAACATTTAATAATTTGGCAAATAATTCGACTACAGATGTCCATGTAGGTTAAACACCATCACTTTCTCATGTGTGTGTATTTTGACTGAAACTCGCGCGTGCCCAAATAGACACTCCCACACCATCCCACTTTAGTTCCTCCGACACTCCCCCCTAAACAGAGCTGGACACGCCCACTTTTCTGACTTTTTCCAAAGTAGAGGTGTGAAAACACCCTGCTGAAACGAGGGGGTTTCATGGCCCTTTAAGCAGGGCCGGCCCGTGGCATAGGCAGTATAGGCAAATGCTACGGGCGCTGTACATCCAGGGGGGCGCCAGAAATGAGCGCGGTTGAGTTGGTTTTGTGTTTGATATTCCTGACACATTCAGTATTAGACGGCCAAACCTCAAAAACCTCTTACCCTAAAAAGATCTAAAGTTAGTTTCCTACAAAAAGACAAAGCTGGTTATGTTTCACAGCTGTCTTTTTCTTTTTTTTTTTTTGCTCAACACTACGACCACTGATCCGTTTGAGCCCTCGCAATCTGCGTTTAACTGGAAGAGCTCGTGCTGAGCAAGCTCTCAGTAAGGGACCGTCAGAAAAGTGCTTATTTTTTTCGTTTTTTTTTTTTTTTTTGCTTGGTCCTGCTTGTTTTATTTCAAACACAACTAATATTCTGTTAAATGAGCACAAACGTGTACTAAAGCAGTCGAATGCTTTATTATAGATCTGTGCATTCTTACATTAACACCTCTGTTATCAAGCAAAACACAATGAGAGATTCATTTGCTGCTCTTCACTAAATAACTAGTAACTTTAATCAATATGCAAATACAATTAAAAGTTAAATAGATTTTATAGCTTTATTTAATTTCTGTTTAGGCTATTGTTTTTAATAGGCTAAACCTTTTATGTTATTGTCAATATTTTATAATGTTTGCTATGTATTCTATCATTTGAAGCTATTTGTTTTCCCATGTTTTTTTACATCCCAACGTTGACAGATTGCTAATCAATAAATAGCTATAGTGCTATCTGTTAGTTTTAACGTCAGCTAATGTTATGGAAGGGCATGGATGTTATGTAAATAGTACTAGTAATGTAACCACCCCCATCAGTCCTTCCTCAAGCAAATGTGTAAATATTAGATCTATTCAGCAATAACATTAATTGCATTGGCATATTTATCTGACGTTTTCCCAGCTTGTAGCAGTCAATCAAAAAGCTATTCAGTCTCTTATGATTATACTCTAGCAGTGGAATTTACTGCGATGTGACGGGGCGTCACCTGAAATCTTGCCTAGGGTGCCAAACTGGTTAGGGCTGGGCCTGGTTTTAAGCATCTAAAATGTACTGTATGTTCACTTGCTTATTGTGCCTTTATCCGTTTAAATTCACGTCAACTACACCATTTCCCAAATTATTGTGCAGTGACATATCAGTAAGACTAAATTAAAATAAATGCGCAGATCTTAATTTTCAAAGAAAGGGTCTTTTTTATATCGAATATTAATCTTAAAATGAGGATACACAGGGCATTCAGATGAGACACAGGTCAACTATTTAGTGCAATATATACACTCACTGCTCACTTCATCAGGTACACCTGTCTAACTGCTTGTTAACGCAAATTTCTAATCAGCCAATCACATGGCAGCAACTCAGCAATCACATGGCATGGTAGTTGGTGCCAGACGGGCTGATCTGAGTATTTCAGAATCTGCTGATCTACTGGAATTTTTACGAGAATGATCTGAAAAAGAGAAACTATCCAGCGGCAGTTCTGTGAGTGCAAATGCCTTGTTGATACCAAAGATTAGAGGCGGGAAGGCCAGATTGGTTCGAGCTGATGGAAAGACAACTGTAATGCCTTGTTCAGACTGCGTGATTTTCGCCCCGATTTTGGCTCGCCGATAGGTTTTGAGAAATCGCCAACTAATGCCTGAAATCACAGGCAAATCCTGCTCGTGCACGTGAGTGACAATCACACAGTATGAACGATCAAAGACGCGATCTGAGAGAATCGCCGATGAGTCGCCGATGCCTGTGAGATATTTGCCGTGCTGAATATCTAAAGCTGTCGGCGATTCAAATCATGCCGTGTGAATTGAGTTTTGACTGAAAATAACATCAGCGATCGCCTACAGCCAATGAGAGAACAGCTTTTGCTTGTGTGTGCGTGTGTGTGTATACCTGCTGCAGGCCAGCGGGAGGCCGGGGGAGAAGTTAAAAGCGCTCTTTTTCGGTTTATTTGGACCCACGAAATGGAGGAAAAACTAGTGAAAAAACTAGTGTTTGACAGGACTCAGGAGCAACTGTGTCTGTTTGACGTTTCATACAGAAAGAAATTAGTTTATTATCAACGTTGAGGAGAAATGGCTAATTCCCTTTAAACCCAGGTGAGCAAACATGTACATGTTCTACCCCATTAAAGGCTTCTTTCTCATTATGTAGTTAATAACAAAAGATATACGACGTGTTTTTGGCTGTGAGACGTAGTTTGGACGAAGTTGTCGGCGATTCTTCCTATCATGCAATGTGAATGTCCCTGTCGCCGATCCATCTTGCAGTGTAAACAAAGCAGCGGCGAAACGCTAGCCCAGATAGTCATGCAGTGTGAAAACATCTGACACGACTACTTTGAAAATCATGCAGTCTGAACTCGGCATAACTCAAATAAGCACTCGTTACAACTGTGGTCTGCAGAAGAGCATCTCTGAACACACAACACGTCCAACCTTGAGGCAGATGGGCTACAGCAGCAGAAGACCGCTCCTGTCAGCTAAGAACATGAAACTGAGGTGACAATTCACACAGACTCACCAAAACTGGACAATAGAAGATTGGAAAAACATTGCCTGGTCTGATGAGTCTCAATTTCTGCTGTGACATTCGGATGGTCGGGTCAGAATATGGTGTCAACAACACGAAAGCATCGATCCATCCTGATTTGGATAAGTGTTTCAGGCTGGTGGTGGTGGTGTAATGGTGTGGGGGATATTTTCTTAGCACACTTTGGGTCTATTAGTACCAATTGAAAATTGTGTGAATGCCACAGCCTACCTGAGTATTGTTGCTGACCATGTCCATCCTTTATGACCACAGTGTACACATCTTCTGATGGCCACTTTCAGCAGGACAACTGTCACGGTTGCAGGTTTGTGCGCTTTCCAGAGTGTCTGTTTGGTCACGTGGGTTTGTTTTGTTTTGGTTGTCCACGTGTATTTGCTATGGTCATGTGCCATGACGGTACTCAGCTGTTTTGATTAGCTCACCAGCTGAGGCTCACTATCGTGCCTATATCTGGGCGACGCTTCAATGTTTCTTTGTCAGTTCGTTGTGTTTGCTCATATGTGTCTGTCTGTGCTCAGGACTGTGAGGAGTGGCTGCTGGACCCGATCTTTCTGTTTCCTGAGCAGCCCTTTACTCCTCGTGAACCTACACTATTTCCCTGTCCTTTCTTGTTTATCCTGACTGTGTCAAATAAACTTTTTACTTGCATTTTAGATCCTACTCTGAATCTTTATAACTGTGACAGATAGCGCAGCATGTCATGAAGCTTGAATCATCTCAGACTGGCTTCTTGAACATGACAGTGAGTTCACTGTACTCAAATGGCCTCCACTGTTGAGGACCAGATTTGATCCTTGTTAAGTTTTGTCCTTTCTGTGCCCTGCTCTCACCTGTTAGTCCTTGTGACTAACCTGTTCTAGCTTTACTCTTATTGGCGTCCTTATATCTGGCTTGCCCTTCATACCCTTTCTTGTCAGTTTATTGTTGTTACGTGTTTCATCTCTAGTCTGCATTGCTCAGCTTACCTTCTTTGTTCTGCCCAGTCCTGTCTCGTTCCTCATCTGCTTGTATACTTTGATGAATGTACTGTGAGATTTGTTATGCCTCTCACTCTGCCCAGACTGCCAGCGTGTTGATGTCGGGTGTTCTCCAAGTAGCTGTGGGCTAACCGTATCCTCCAGCCCTCATCTCTGTTCAGGTTAAGCTGATGGCTTTTGTGTTTTTAGAAGATCCAGCTCTGCGTTCCACTTTTCAGTTCTGTTTTTGAACGGCAGACTGCCTATTTTGGACTTTGATACAATAAGCTCTTTTAACTCGCCTTTTTTGTCCATAACATCCACAGTCACTAGATCTCAACAGCACAATTTGGATCAAAGCCTGACAAAGGTAGTTTCATCAAGTCAAAAAAAAATATTTATGTGGTATTTTGAGCTGAAACACTGTAGGATTTATCAGAGGCTTATTTTTTTTTTCTTGTAAAAATGGGTAAAATAGGTCCCCTTTAAGAAATTTTGTAGTATCATTTCCCTCCATTTTCCATTTCATTCAATGATGGGTGGTCCAAATGCATGGATTTCTGGATGGCTGCTGAATGGAGTCTCTGTTCCAACAAGACGTCAGCAAGCAGGTGGTGGATGGAGATTTGGTTTGGAATATTAGACAGTGAAAAGGTTAGATGCCTTCAGGGGTACTGAGAGCATCAGGCCGTCTGTCTTGAGCCCATAACTGACCATTTTTGCCATCTGCTGTGGTATAAATAAACGATCTTTTCTGCTAGAAATTAAAAATGTATATTTATTTTCATTAATCACAACTTTTATTTTTAATTAATCACATCGTACTGCACTGTGCAAATTACTTTTTTTTTATTTAATAAATTATTTTAAAAAGTAACCATGCAGGTTTTGCAATAAA